TGGGATGTGTTTACATTTTTTTTTTTTTTTTTTATTGGAGGGACTTGTTCTTTATTTCAAGAAGACGCTTGTCAGTATTTAGTATCAAAACAGTTGCACTATTGATTTCTGTTTCTCCCAATCAGCCTACATGAGTCTACATCAAAGGAGAGTACATTTAAGCCAGTAAGCTGCAGGATGTACGCCTGACAGACCTTACAGAAACTTTACCAGAAAGTGGGGATTGGGTAGGGAAAGAAACTTTAAAAGATCAGCAAACTGCCAGCCTAAGTGGACGTGTTGGCTCACGCCTGTAATCCCAGCACTTTGGGAGGCCAGGGTGGATGGACCGTGAGGTCAGGAGTTCGAGACCAGCCTGGCCAACTTGGTGAAACCCCATCTCTACTAAAATACAAAAAATTAGCCAGGTGTGGTGGCATGCGCCTATAATCCTAGCTACATGGGAGGCTGAGGCAGGAATCACTTGAACCCGGGAGGTAGAGGTTGCAGTGAGCCGAGACCACACGACTGCCCTCCAGCCTGGGCAACAGAGCGAGACTCCATCCTGAAAACAAAGAAACACCTAAAAAAAACCTGCCAGTCCACAGACTGTAGAGGGTTATCACTGTCAGATTCAGTGGCCAGGGTGCCACAAAGAAGCAAAGATGCTCAAAATAATATAAAAATTTAAAAGTTTTGTACATAAGCTGTTCAAGATTTCTCTAGTATTGACTGAGTAAGATTTCTCTAGTATTAACTGATACTGAGCACAATGAGATGGCACTTTTAGAGACAGCAGCTTCAAACCCAGAAAAGGATATTGAAATGAATTTCACATGGCTAAATCAGTGGCAAAAACAATCTTCTTTGTATCCTCTTCATTTTAAGAACATCAGTGCTCCCTAATGCGGTGTGACCTCACTGAAACTTGATTTAGGGTCCTTTTTAATGCAGTGTGACCTCATCTTGATTACATCTGCAGAAACCTGATTTCTATGTAAGGTCACATTCACTGGGGTTGGGGGTTAGATCTTAGGGACACAGTTCAACGTATTACTCCTGTTTTTTTCCAGATTACCTGGAGACCATTTTAAGATTCATGGCATGAAAGATTATGACTAAATTTGAAATCTAGAATTCTAGATAGAATCTGTTCATCTTTTCTTTGATGCTGAAAGAGGTGAAAGTGGCATAATTTGGAGTCTGATTAAGATTTTACAGTTCCTGCTTTTTTTTTGCCAGGAGATGCCCAGAGCACGCCTTTGATACCTGAAAGGTGACTACTTTTTTGTGTGTGCGTGAGATGGAGTCTTGCTTTGTTGCCCAGGCTGGAGTGCAGTGGCACGATCTCAATTCACTGTAGCCTCTGCCTCCCGGGTTCAAATGATTCTCCCACCTTAGCCTCCCAGGTAGCTGGGATTACAGACGCATGGCACTACGCCCTGCTAATTTTTTTGTATTTTTAGTAGAGATGGGGTTTCACCATGCACAGCAGGCTGGTCTTGGAATTCCTGACCTCAAGTGATCCTCCTGCCTCTGCCTCTCAAAGTGCTGGGATATAGGCATGAGCCACCATGCCTGGCCAAGGTGACTACTCTTTTTTTCTTTTTGAGACAGAGTCTCACTCTGTCACCCAGGCTAGAGTACAGTGATGCGATCTCGGCTCACTGCAACCTCCGCCTCCTGGGTTCAAGCAGTTCTCCTGCCTCAGCCTCCGAAGTAGCTGGGACTACAGGTGCGCGCACCACCATGCCCAGCTGATTTTTGTAATTTTTGTATTTTTAGTAGAGATGGGGTTTCACCATGTTGGCCAGGGTGGTCCTGATCTCCTGACCTCGTGATCCACCCACCTTGGCCTCCCAAAGTGCTGGGGTTACAGGCACGAGCCACCACACACGGCCCAAGGTGACTACTCTTATTGACACCTATTCCTGCAGATTTAGTACTTTCTGGAAGTTTAGAGCATTATTAGGATTTTCATAGTTCTTTTAAATTATGTGTGATATAATTTTTTTTTTTTTTTTTTTTTAAGTTATAAAGATGCTTCAGACCGCAAAGAATTTGTTGAAAGAAGAAAAATTGGTACACAGCTATCCCTATGACTGGAGGACTAAGAAACCCGTGGTTATTCGTGCCAGCAAGCAGTGGTTTATAAACATCTCGGATGTTAAGACTACAGCCAAGGTATAAAAAGCATCCTAGTGTAAGAGTTTGGGTGTATCATTCCCTCAGTGTAAAAGGGCTGCATATGAGGTTGTGGTGGGGTGTCGGAAGTGGAAAGCATTGTTGCTATTATGATTTAGTTTCATAAAATTGTAGAAATTTAGATCTGAAAGGACCTTGGACTTCCATTTTTTTCATTACACATGTGTGGGAAATGTGGCATAAAAAGGTTAAGTGATTTGTCCAGATCACACTGTTAGTAGATAGACTTTCTTGCTCAGTGTAGTCAAAGTTGCATAGAATTTGGACAGAACTATGTCCTAGTTTAACCTGCTGCAGCCTCTGTTTTCTCATCTATATAAAGTGATGATAATGCCTATCTTATAGAGTAAGGGAATACAAGTTTCCAGAATATGGTCTGATACATAATAAGCATTCAGTAAAACTTTTTTAAACCCTTTGCTTCCTTGAGTTTGGAATTGCAATTAATTTAAAAAGTTACTGTTATAGTTACAAAGGAAGCATATTAAAAAGTAAAAGTTGAGACAGAAGGCAAGGAAACCAGTTCCAGACTGTGGTCTCGGAGGTAGTGAAGGGTAAAACTGGTAGAATTTCAGGATGACCTGGAGAAGGTGGGTGGGCAGAGGCAGTGGAAGGTTGGCAACTTCCTGCCAAGGGGAGGGGACGGGGTGGAGCAATTCCCGAGATGGCAATGACAGCGATAATGACAACCAGTGCTAAAATTAGTGCTTACTATATGCCAGGGAATGTGCAAAGTGCTTGATCGCCTTATCTCAGTCTCAATCCTGGAATTGTGATAAAAAATAAAATAAAATAAAAAAAGTAAAAGTAATAATATACAAAGTTGTTTCTTTTAGTTAACAAATATTACTAGTGTTCTAAATACTACATATATGTTTGAGCCCTTTAATATATATCTTTCTATATGGGTGTATGTAAACATCTCTCACAACTTCATTCTATTTAATGAAAGCTTAAATATATATGTGTTTGGAGAAATAGGAACGCTTTTACTGTTGGTGGGAGTATAAATGTCTTCAACCATGTGGAAGACAGTGTGGTGATTCCTAAAGGATCTAGAAATAGAAATACAATTTGACCCAGCAATCCCATTACTGGGTATATACCCAAAGGATTATAAATCGTTCTTTAAAGACATATTCACATGTATGTTCATTGTGGCGCTGTTTACAATAGCAAAGACTTGGAACTAACCCAAATACCCATCAATGATAGACTGGATAAAGAAAATGTGGGATATATACACCATGGAATACTATGCAGCCATAAAAAGGGATGAGTTCATGTCCTTTGCAGGGACATGGATGAATCTGGAAACCATCATTCTCAGCAAGCTGACACAGGAACAGAAAACCAAACACTGTGTGTTCTTACTCATAGGTGGGTGTTGAACAATGAGAACACATGGACACAGGGAGGAGAACATCACACACTGGGGTCTGTTGGGGGCTGGGAGTCTAGGGGAGGGATAGCAGGGGATGGGAGATTGGGGAGGGATAACATTAGGAGAAATACCTAATGTAGGTGACGGGGGATGGAGGCGGCAAACCATCATGGCGTGTGTAACAGTCCTGCAAGATCGGCACATGTACCCCAGAACTTAAAGTCTAATTAAAAAATAATAATAATACACACACACACACACACACACACACACACACACATATATATATATATATATATATATATATGTTAACCAGGTTGAATATATAGATATTTTGCTTTACAGTTTGAAAATACTAGTGTATTAAGCTGGTTTATTTATTGGCCTGGCAATTTGGGGTCCTTGCCAAAGCTATTTATAGCAGTTTATATTTTCTATACTTGTATAATGCGGACAACGGTAATATATAGTACGTTTTGGTTTTTTTCTTCATTTAAAAACCTCTCTTCCTTATTTGTCAATGTTAAAATTTGTAAATTGCAGATTTGTAAATTGCAGCTCTGCATCGATTTTTGGTTGTAGAATGTCTAAGTCTGATGCAATATATTTAAGCCCAGTTTTTTTTTTTTTTTTTTTTTTTTTTTTTTTTTTATTATATGTGACTTTGGACAAGTTACTGAACTTCTCTGTGCCTTGGTTTTCTCATCTATAAAGTGGCAATGAGTAGTACATTTTTCTTTTTTTTTTTTT